GTGAGGGTGTTTGGTGGGGATTAAAATTGGATTTTTAGTAAATTGTGATAGAAATTTTTGAAATGTATGGTTGAAAAGCTGTGGGACCCATGAAAGATGTGGTTAATATTGATTGTTTGACTTAGATTAAAATTTGATTTTAATCAGAAACAAACGGGTTCTAAAGTTCTTCTTTTAGCTGGCTGTTAGCTGCTTGTGACATTTAAAGATAATTACCAAGGAAATTTTATTTTGCAAAAACATTTTTGTAGAAAATTGCTCTTAATTCTTGATATATTAATTCCAAATAGAAATTTTAGTTTGAGTTGGAAGCTCCTTATTGTTGTTGCAGATTGCCCCTTTTGAGCTACAAATTATGAATAAACCTGCAGAATTTTCTAGACACGATCAAATGCAAAAGAGAAGTAAATTTTCATTATTGATTGAAGTTCTTATCCTAAGGACTTTGGTGTATTCTTTGAAAAAATGTACGTGCCGAATTTGAACGTGGTTGATTGTTTTAATTTAGACTCTGAAATCTTGCTGATACCTGAGCTTCCTAGTTTATAACTTAATGACATTTTCTTCACTCGTATATGACCATGTGGTATGGTAGGTTTTTAGATTTCTGTCATTTTGTGTATGAACTGAATGAGAAAGCGCGTGTAGTCCGGGCCAGATATTTCACTGGCATATGATCATCAGTTTCTTTGTCATTGTTCCTGTGTGATTGCTATCATCTTCAAGCATGTAACTTCCTGTTATAAACTTTTTACGATCAGATTTGTCATTTATGATAGAACTTCATACTGTAATTTGGAAGTAGATAAGTGTGAAAGTATAGGTTTAGGCAGTGTGCTATGGGTAACAAGAAGATTACTAAATATAATGGAAAAGTATTGTTTGCTGTAATGTATCTGATCATAAGAAAACAAATGAAGCATGCATTGCGTTTGTAGTGTCTTTGATATAATAAAATTGAATTGCTGTGATTAGATAACTCCTCATTAAAGTTTAGTAAACAATCTAAATAATGGCCCAACATGTTGAAATAAGAATGAAACTGCTAAATTAGAGAAACTAGTTTGGTGAGCTTGAACTGAAATGGCAACTACTATGAAGGAGAAGTCACATGTTATGTTCCTTATGCTTTCAAGGGATCTCTCCATCTCCTCAACAATAGATATAAATAAATAAATCTCAAATTTAGTAAAGATTACTAGTTTATATTTTTTTAAAATTTAGCTAAATGAGAAATCTACATAACAGTGGGGTACTCTGTTTCGGGGCCCATCTTTAGCTGTTATTCATCATATTATTGTTATTATGATTACCAAGAGCTCGATTGTCATTTCATAATATGGTTTCCTGTTCTCTCTAGTATTATATTTTTCTCTCTCAAGAGCAATCATATTTGTGTTCATAATTCTTGAAAACTGATTGATAAAACGTTCAAATTGGGCTGATACAGCTTCAAGATGAAGTCATACTCTCAGATTCCAATAGATTAAAGATGACACGGAGCAATGTGAAGATGGTATTGTCTCCATAATGTTCGTATGCTTGTCTGTTTTTCCCATTCTGTGCTTCTGTGATTTAACATGTACCTTTATAACCTTTGATTAGTGCAGCTCCTAAGGCATTTTCAAGTTGATACTCTTCCTCGGATTCAAAGGATGCAACAAAAAGAGCAAGTTTTCCAAAGGCATCTTTTAAGGGTGAGAACATGGGTTAGCCTTTTATATCTGATAGTGGTTGTGCTGGTCTTTTTCCTTATAATCTCTGAGTCATTACTGGTGCATTATGATTTTTCTCTGAGATAATCAGGAACTGAACTAGTGAATGCATGCGTAGTTGCCTATAAGTTCTGCATCTATGTCTCGTCCTATTCTTAAAAGATTGCACGTGATATGATAAACAGGTAATGAGAATAGTGGAGGCTCTGGAGGGTAAAGGTTACCGGTTACCACTAATGAAAGGAGAAGCTAAATTGGAGGAGAAATTGGCTGCAATAACTCGACAGGTTGTTTATAATTTGATCTTGCTGAATGCCTTGTACTTATATGGACTGAAACAAGTGACGGCACTGACTAGTATACT